GCGGAGCTCCAAGCTTTCTTTCTGAAACTGGTTGTTGAATGATGACTTTATTCTCATAATAGAAGAAAACAAATCTCTAGCCTGGCCCTGATACTCCGTCGTAGATTAGAATAAATTTGTTAACGGCATTAAATCTATTTTGACTCTTAATGCTTCATTTGTTCCTATTGTGACCCTGCAGCTGTCCAGGTGCACATCCTGAAGGCGGACAAAGTGGGCGAATGGTGGAAATTCACCGTCAACATCATCTCCGTCTACAAGCAGGGGGAAAGCCGCATCCGGCGGGGGGATCAGTTCCTGTGGGTCCGAGCGAAAGACGTGGCCTGCAAGTGTCCCAAGATCAAGCCCGGGAAGAAGTACCTGCTGCTGGGGAACGACGAGGACTCCCCCGGCCAGAGCGGCGTGGTGGCCGACAAAGGCAGCCTGGTCATCCAGTGGAGGGACACGTGGGCACGCCGGCTTCGGAAGTTCCAGCAGCGCGAGAAGAAAGGCAAGTGCAAGAAGCCATAGGTGGAGAAAAAAACAGAAAAACAGGCCGAGCTGGAGAAGAAACGGGAATCCTGAACAGGTTTTCAAAAAGAACCGAGGAGCCGGGACAGAGGACACTGTTTATGTTGCTGCTTTTTGTTTAGAAGCATGAAGAGAATAATTTAGGATGATTTGTATTTTCTAGTGAACTTTTGCTGAAGGAGCTCACTTTGCAGATTTGGCTTCATGGTTTATTTTACCCCGACATTTTTCCCTCTTGTGGAATTTGGCAAATTTGCACCTATTACCATATAAAACATTATTTGTGTTTGTTTACTTTACTCTACTATGAAAAGCTTGTATTGTATGCTCTCAGTTTTTTGGGCAAAGGACAAAAAGATTCTTCATTACAGCTGCAATATTGCCTCTGCATGTATTGATTTTTTTTTATGTATTTTTCACAGAGAACACTGCAAAAAATTTAATTCTAAATAAGTTTTTTTTTATTTTTAAATGCATTTTGTTTTGAATTGAGGAGGTAAGTGAGATACTTTGCCAATGGAACAAGACAATTTACATTTAAAATAAGAAAAAGCAACAGCAACTGTCATATTTTAAGAGTAAAAATACTCATCCTATTGGCAAATCATCCCATTAACCTACGAACATTAAGGGAAAAAATACACTTGATTTATTTCTAGATAATTTTTGCAGTGAACCAAACAGGTTTCATGGAAAGTTTATCTGAGGTGCGCCTCAGACTGTCAAAGCTACTGTTGTATGGCAAGCCATCATGCATTTAGTTGTCTTTCATGTGCTCTGAGTCAGGAATGTTTTGCAGTTTAAACAATCATAAATATCTCGGTCTTCTGTTTCATCAGTATGGAAAGATAAATTATGCAAGTGGAAGAAGTGGAACTGGGACAGAATTTAGTTTTGATTTATAAAAACACCTCAACGCACCTAGAATCATCAATTTTATGCTCGAGTATTTGCATAAGGATGTTTTTTTTATTATTTTTTAGAAGACTTGGACAACCTTTTTTGCCATTTTGTATACACAGGGTGTATACATAAATAAATTAGTCAAGAATTAAGTCACTACGGTGCCTTATAAAGAAAAACATTTTTAAAGTGAGGTTCTGTTTCCTGAGCAGCTTTTACAAACACATCTTCAACGATCAGAGCATCTTTAAAACAAAAAAGTGAAACTCTTCTACAAAATATTGCCATCAGCATTTGCTTGCCTACCTTTAGACAGATATTAACTTATTACATTGGATTTCATGTAGTGTTGGCGCAGACCTTAGCGACTATAACAGCTTAAGCTACAAGGTTCAGGAGTTCTGTTTTAATAATTTATTGCTTTTCTTCCAGAGAAACATTCGTGAGGTCACATGATGTTGGAGAAGGCCTGCCTCTCAGTCTGGGCTCTGATACAGCCACATTTTTTGTACCCTGAATTTTAAACTGACGTTTTTTTACACATTGAATTCCTTACATTGAATTATTATTTGGTGAAAATTCAGCTGCAAAAAATGTGACTGTAAATGTTCAGGTTTTGGTAAACTCAACCAAAGCAA